GCACAACCCTACCATTGACCTGTCAGCCCTCCCTAACTTCCCTGACGACAGCCTCGCTGTCACGCTGATCTGGTTCCAGACCTTCATCTTGCACCCATAGGCCTTCTCCGCAGGAAGGCAGCCCGAAAGGCGCAAAAGCCGGTCAAGCCACTGCCTCGGCACAGCCATAAAGTTAGCGTCCCGGTAGCTCCGCCAGAGCGCCCCGCTGAAACCGATCCGCAGGAAAGTGAAGACGCACCTGGTGAAGGTAAACTTCCTGGATGGGACCCACAGAATCATCAAGGCATCCGAACACCGCTGAGACCTGCTGAGCACGTCAGAGTGCGAGCCTCCTCGGACTTACTTGCATGCCCTTTCGAGGAAGCCTTGGAGTCGGGCTTCCCTTTATCCTTGCCTGTTGCAACGGGTTGCTGTGCTCTCACCTTTGGTTCTGGAGCAGGACCTTTGCCACCGCCTGGGGCAGTACAGTCTACTTTCTGATGTCCACCACCACATACCCAGCACTTCTGAGGCCGTGCTAAGTCATGACTGAAACGCAACCTTTCCATGGGTTCTTTCCTTTTCCCCCCGGTTTCTTAGCCGCTTCCCCAGCTGCGCTCTCTCCAGTAGCCTTCCCCCACCTTTCGGACCTCCTCCATCAGGACTCGCAAGTGACGCAATCCTGGGCTCTTTGCACCTCCTGAAGACCCCTCTACTGCAAGGGCTTCCAACTCTGCTTATAACAGTGCTCTGGCGAACTGTTCAACAGCTGTAAGGGTCGGCACTGTATCCAACTGGAGCGACATCCGGGTCGTATTGAAAAGGAAAACGACGAGCGAAGGATTCCGCTCAAGCATCGGCTTCGCCATACAATCAAGAGCGTCCAACAACAACGTACAATCTGGCGCGGAGACTCCCATACTACGCGCTCGCTCTAAGTGCCTAAACCAGTACTGGAGTGCACCTGCACCCTGGGCTGCGGATGCTGCTTCAGGAAGAGTGGTCAGTCCCTTAAGCAGCTCCGTACGTTCGCGCAGACCCCCGGGCCCCCGGGCTGATATGCCTTCAAGACAAGGAAGACGAGGCCTACGCAAGTGGTATTGCGGATGCTCAGAGAGCACTGTCATGCACCACCTGGAGTATTGACTTACTCAACATTGCCAAACCCCAGCCTCAAGAACCGCTCTCTCTTCAAGAAGTCCGACGGGATTCCTTGGATCCCCAGCCGTTCAAGAGGTGTGGCCGCAAGCCACAGCTTGTCTTGCCTCCTGCGTCACTCTGCTCCACCAGATGTAGGCTTTAGGGGACAAGTCATTTAGCAAGGGCTCCATCTGATGAATCCAATCGGCACGTCTAAGCGCTGGGTGGGGGTCTGACACTGGCCCTAACCGTGCAAGCTCCCACAAGGCTCGGGCCTCCGGCACACCTTCCTGAGACTGTCCTGTTTTCGGAGACGCTGGTGGAGCTTGACACGAGGAGCAGTAGAGCTTCGGGTAGCGTACAAGTAACGAAGCTGGTTGTCATGGTGTATGGGGTTCCTCGTGAAGGGGCTATAGATGCAGAGGGGAAGATTCAGGCGCCTCCGCTGCCTGTGCTTGGGGGAAGCACGTCAACCTCCCGGAAGAACCCGTTCGAGCCACATGCCAGGTCGCCGTTTCAGGAAGTTCCTCTGACTGGGACACATGAAGCAACGCCGAGTCCCCGGCATGGGTGCCGCCGCTCGCCCCCCAAGAAAGCAAAACCAGGTCAAGACAGCCTTGTCTCCTATGACGCCAGGAGGCACACGAGTTCCCGTTGGAAGACGTGCACGCAACCTCCTTCATCTCTGCAAAGTCCTGTAGCAGAACTTTGGAGTTCATCCGACACTCCATTGCGACAAGCCTCTTGCGGAGACTCCCACAATCCACCTCCGGGCCTGCAGTCGGGTTGAGAGAGTCCTTTGCTAGCACTGGGACCTACAACCTGGTTAGCTGACGCATGACTACTTGCAACTTGACGTGCAAAAGTATTGGAGCCTTGAGCCTGGCTTGTGAAAGCATGAGCACCTGGCATCTGTGTTGGTGCTTCATGACCGCCTGCAGCCTCACTTATAAAGGCATTGGCATCTGGCACCTGGTTTGCTGTCGCATGGCCTCCTGCAACCTGACCTGCAAAGACATTGGCACCTGGCACTTGGTTTGCTGCCGCATTGCCGCTTGCAGCCTGACCTGCAAAGACATTGGCACCTGGCACTTGGTTTGCTGCCGCGTGGCCTCCTGCAACCTGACCTGCAACTTGGTTTGCTGCCGCATGGCCTCTTGCAACCTGACCTGCGAAGGCACCCGGTTTGCTGCGGCATGGCCGCTTGCAACCTGACCTGCGCATCTGGCACCTGGTTTGCTGCCGCATTGCCGCTTGCAACCTGATCTTGCAACCTGACCTGCAGAGGCACTGGGACCTGGCGCCTGGTTTGCTGCTGCATTGACGCTTGCAGCCTGACCTGTGAGTGCATCAGCGCTTGAGGCCTGATCCAACCCTGAACGTGTGCTCTGACTTATTATAGGAACGGAGACACAGCTCCCGGTCCAAACGGCCCCACTAAGTCACGACTCACGACCCCAGGTTCCTTTGTCCACAAACGGAACCTTGAGACCAACCGGGGGGCCGGTAGATTCCTCCCATCCTGCAAACTGAGTCCACGGAGGGATAAAGGATCGGAAAAACCCAGCAGATGCTCCATGCCCTGTAGGCTCCCCCTCAGAAGGCTTAACGCCTATACCTTTACCTTTCTCACTAGGTTCGTACATCATACCCCTCGTAGACCTCAGCCCTCGTCCTTCATTGCTTCTGGACAAACCACTATCTGCTGAGACCTTACGGAAACCACCGAACGATCTGTACAAATCTCTTCCCTCCGGATCAGTACTCGACGTACCACGACTTTCACGTCTCACCGACGCCAACTCTTCCTGAAGGGCTTGGTTCTGAGCCACCAGTCTTCGAATAACGTGCTCCATTTCATGGGTTTCTCCCACTTGACTATCAAAAGCTTGCTCATGAGCCCTTCCAGTGTACTCATATTCAGGCTCTCTCAGACGGGGTCCTGCCGGACCAACACTATTCAGCCAGCTCACGAGGACATGTCAATGTCCCCCCCAGTTGGGCTTACCAGCCCGTAATCTGGGACCTCGTCGCTTTCCGTTGCGCCGGGACTCAGCGAGAGCTTGGGCTCATGACCTGTCGGTCAAGAGACCCAGCAAGCGGAGCAACAGCGACACGCACTTTTTACACCAAAGGCCTGAACTCAGTACTTACAGCTGCCTACTCTGCTTGATGTACACAGGTGCATTCAGCTAGCTGCAAAAAGGAAGTTGAGGTCTACAAAGGATACAGAAGCATAACACCAGGGGGGCTTTCTCCGGTGAGCCGACATGGCTTAGAGCAGCACATACCGGCATGGCTTGCTCCACGTACTTATAATAAGGAACCCCAAAAATTATTGAAAATTCTGGCACTGGGACTAATAGCGCCAGCTGTCTCCTGAAAGGTGGCGGAGGACGGCAAGGCGTATTCTGCTCCGCAGTTTTGGGAGTTCTTCAAAGACGGCTGGTTGCTGCTGAGCTGCGAACATAAGTTTCGATGCCGTTGGTCTACCCTTCCAGCCGAGATGGCTCGATTCAGCCCTAATTCGTCCCTAAACCTTGTACCCGAGGGCCCTAAACCGAACTTGCTGCCCTGGGTGTTGCAATGGCACCTAAGGTTTTCGGAGTTTCGGCTTCAGGGGCAGTCATGAGGCTTTGAAGCTTCGTTCGGTTTTTCGGCGGAGACTTTGTGTGGTCTATTGGTTCGAAGAGGATCGTAGTAGCGAAAGTTGTTTTTTTCCATTGAAGGGCCAGCCAAGTGATCTAGGAGCACCACTTCCTCAAAGCTTCCCTGGACATGCTTGTGCTGCTCAGCTTTTCGCCTTCCCAAAGCACAGCACCCAAAGCCCTTGCCCTTTCGGTGTTGCCGCTGCCGGTTAAATCTCACTGATGCAAGTTGGGAGGTTCTAAACCGGTATTGGACATCCGATAAGGGGCTTCTAGTGTGTATCAACCGACAGCAATCAAACTATAGGTCGCATGCGGTTTTATTTTCCCGCTTGAGCCGAGACGCTCCGACAAAGTCACCTGCAGGGCCACGCCAGCTGAGGACCAAGTGGCATGAAGCAAAGTGGGCAACGCAAAGGCGCATCGCGGAGGATGGGCATGTCTACACCTTGGACGAGTTTGTCGAGTACTACAAGTCCCGGAAAGTTTGGAACGAGTTTAAGCAGTGGTCCGAGAACCCGTGGCGGCGGAAGCTCGGTGCTGTTACAGTGCCCGCTGCACCCGAACAACGTAAGCACAACGTAAGCCCTCAAGCCGAAGCCTTCCCTTGGGGATCTGTTGGACATGCCAGGAAGTGGGCCGAAGCGCCAGTGGCACTCTGCGAAGAGTGTACAGCAGCCAGCCATTCCCCCTGATCCAGCGATGCTGAGATCACCAGATCCGGAGAAGAAAGCAACCGAAATGGGGGCTGGGTCAAGTTGTTATTAGTGTGTTATTGCCATTGTTGCACTTATTCTTACTATTCTTACTAGTGTTGTTATTCTGCTCACTAGTATTTACAAGTATTACCATCATTACTATCAATTACTATGATTATGTGTTTTTGTGATGTGGAGTCTTTTCGTCTTCAAAACCAGGCAAGACTAATGCTGCGACTTCTCCGACTGCTTCTACTACTGTAGCAGCTGTTGCTGTGAGAAGGACTGGTGCTATTCCGAGCCGGGAAGGGGCCGTTATACACAGTCTGCATATTCGGATCCTGTCAACGCCCTGAACCCTAAACGCTGTCGGACATTTGTGTTGAGAAGCCAAACCCTTATAAACTCTGAGCCTTAAACACCTGTCTTTAACCCTGAATAAACCCTAAATCCCGAATCCCTAAATCCCAAAACCCTCAACCCGAATCCCGAAGCCCTTATAAACCCCAAACCCTACACCGAAGAGCACAGCCAGGGCTCGTTCGGTGAGTGCTTCTGGGTCTCGCACCGCCTGGGATCCCAGCTTCGTAGAGTTTAGGGATTCGGGTTTACAGGGGTTGAGGGGTGGCTTGCAACAACGGTTATTACGGGGGTTTTGCGGGATACCATAAGCGATTGGTGTGCAAAGGTGCCGGTTTTAGTGAGAATTGGCTTTGGGTTTTGGTTGTTCGTTTCGGGGTATTTTTGGGAGTATCGATTCTTTCCAGGGCTGTTAACAGGGTCTTTTGGTGTATTTAAGAGCACCCCTGAGGGTTCTACATATAAGGTTTTTCAAGGGTTCTGTGTGGGTTCAAGTTGTTCGAGTCTTGATTGGGTAGTCCATTGTCTACTTGAGGAGCCTAAACCATTACCAATACTATTTTGAGGTCTCGTTCTCACAATTATAGAATATGTCAGCAATTATGCTCCTGAATGTGTTTATAGCATAGCATACCCCAAACCCGATTCCTGAAGGATTCCATGGGCTTCTCTACCAGTGTTTGGCGGTTCAGGGTTCGGCGGTTGATGGTTGACGGTTATAGGGCGAGACATTTTGTGGTATAATGTAGCTTTCAGGGAAAGGGCTTGCTGCTTCAACTTGTGTTCGGCGCTTCACCGGGAGGATCCTCTACCAGACATTGAAGTATGAATAAGTAGCTAGAATATTCCGCAGGGTTCCTCCTGATATTTGTATTGTATTACCACCTGAACCCTTTTCGAACTGCGGTTGATGATATAAAATCTGGCAGTACCCATAATAACAAGGAATACACCATAGTTTTCATAGTCTAGGCCTAAGGTCATTAAGGTAATTGCAGAATTATATATCATCAACCGTAGTAGGGCGCCACACATTGAAGCTGAAGCCACTTCGCCAGAGGCGTCTCGAAAGTTCGACGGGTGTGCAAGCGCATTCCGAAGGACCGGCAGCTGGGTTTCGGGTTTCCGGCTGGACCTTGAACCCTAAGCCCAATAAGCCCTGCAGTTCAGCCCTATGTCTTAAACCGCAAACCCCGAAGCCGAGGAACCCTAAGCTCAACCCAACATCCTACAGCCAACTGCTCGAAGCCTCAAGCCTGAATTCTCCGTCCTGAACCGGGAATCCAGTAGAAAGTTTCGGCTGGGGAACATAGAGGCCTGAAGCGGGTCTTTATGATTTTAAGTATTGTTTTGGGAATCATAACACAAGAGGGATTCATAACGTTTGCTCTTCATCTTAATCCTTATTATACAAGGACACACCCCCAAAAACCCTTTCCCAATGCCACTGTGTCAGGGTAGACTGGTAGACAAGGTTGTGAAGTGTTCAGGGACGTTTCTGCAGGTCGTGCCAGCATTCTTTGAAGTCTCACATGCGCCGGAGGAATTTGGAATAGGGATTAGCGGTAGGCGATGTCTTATTCGCAGCGGCGCCCCACACGAAGCTAGGCCTGCCAGCCCTGCCAAGAGCTGCTACAGGCCTGTGCAGGCCTGCCAAATCTCGCAGACACCCTGGCGGCTGTCATAAAACGGCAGCAAGTCCAAGACCCTAACGCTAACGGACTAGCCCCAAATCGTAAATCCCCAAAGTCCCAAATCCTAGTCCCCAATTCCGACACCAAATCCCTACAGCAGGCCACGAAGCTTCCCCCAAAGCACCCTCAGCGCCTCAGCGCTGGTTTGACAAACTAGCCGCACATCCGATCAGCCCGAAGCAACCCAGCTCAGTATTGTTACTTTTTCTCAGATTGTGCTATCGTTGTGTTGGTTTGTTGTGTGGAGGGGAGGGGGGTGCGGTTCCACCCTAGCAGGCCCAGAGCCTGAAGCCCTGTACTACCCTTTCAGGAACCCCTATCCCTAAACCCTTTACCCAAGCAGACGCCCGGGAGGAAGAAACAACACTTCCCGAGGAGGAGGTCCCTTCAGATTCCTTCAGTTTGTTCGGTTCCGGCTTGCAATACGGTTGCCGAGAGAGTTTGGTGTTCGGTCCCGGCTTTGAGCGTAGGTTCCGGCAGGGTTCGGTTCAACGGTTTTTGCCTTTCCTCTTTTTTTGGGGGTTGGTGAGTTTGTAGGTAGAGATCCCTGATAAGCCTTTTGGGGCTCTCGTGATTTGTTCGGGCTTGGGGCATCTGCGGCTTACGGTTTCACTCTTGCTTGGCTTGGGGCGTCTTGGGTTCAGCTCAGAAGGGTTTGGTCCTGGATCTCTCGTCAGTTAACGTTTTTAGGATGAAGGGTCTTTGGGTCCATCCAAAAGGAAGAGGATGCACCTAAGGGAGGGGCATTTATTTGGGAGTAGGCAAGCGGTGAAATGTTGAGGTTCGTGATGAAGAAGCTATGCCCTAAACAAGCCCAAAGCCCTAGAGGCTTGTATATCAAACCGCAACTGAACCCTAAACCTTGCCTCAAGGAGCTAAAGTGTAGAGGAACCCATAGGATTTAGGCTAGCTTGTTACAGCCCAACCCAAACTGCCTCGGGGTTGTGTTACGCCTCGTAGCAGAGGTTTGTGAGAACAAGGAGGCGCGGAACCTACAACCCGCGGAACCCGCAACCTTGCGAGCCCGCAAACTGACAGAGGGCTGCGGGCTCGTTCAAGCTTGAATGGAGGTTCGGGGCTGGTTCGCTTGGACCCTACAAGCCTGCAAGCTTTGTAAAAGCTAACCGTCAAAACCCGTATCAGACCGAAAGCCGTGAACCGTGATGAACCCCATTGTTTTGTGGGAGTTTATACAAGTTTAGGGTTTACGGCTAAGTGCATTTAAATAGGGTTCCCATACGAAACCTGTGGAGGTGCAGACTGAGCTTGAAATTCTAAAAAAGCTGGACCATCCGAATGCCTGCATCTCGGAGATATGGCTTGGAGGTCTAGGGGCTAAAGGGCCAAAGGCTGTTAGGGTTTAGGGTTTAGCTGCAGGGTCTGAGTCTAGAGTCTAGAGGTGGATATTTTTTGCCTTCGTCTGTGGACTGCACGGCCTTGCACCGACCTGTACTGGGAGGTCATATCAATATGTCGCGAGTGACCACGGGCGTAGATGTTTCTGCGTGTGGGGAAAAGGAGGGAGGGCAGCCGAAGTGCGAGGAAGGGCCCAAGCTTAAAGGTGTAGAGAGAGAGAGAGAGAGAGAGAGAGAGAGAGAGAGAGAGAGAGAGAGAGCGAGTGCGAGTGAGCGAAAGAGATTGAAAGAGCAAGAGAAAGACAAAGGGAAGCAAAAGGTGAGGAACGAGAGCGGGAGCGAGCGAGGGAGAGGCAGAGAGATAGAGAGAGACAGAGAAGGCGACTGGGGGCAGACAAATGAGATGCACCAGAGGAGAGCGAGCGAGAGAGAGAGAGAGAACATGCCAACACACGCACACCCATAGAGACACGCACACACACACACACACACACAAGTGATGAAGAATCAAGGGAACCGAGACCCAGACAGACGGAACAAAACAAAGAGATCAGCGAGCACTCCGCCCGACACGCACAGCGAGAGAGCGAGAGAGAGAGGGAGATAGAGACAGGAAAGAAGAACGAAAGGCAGAAAGAACGAACGAAATAAGACCGTGATCAACAAAGGGAGACAGGAATAAGGACACGAATAACGGAATCACGAATTCAAGACAAGCGAGAAACACAGGCTGACTAACTAGTAGTACTCTTCGTTATCGTTTCTTTGTTGCAGCTCTGTTGAAATATATCCCAAAAGCACGGTTCTAGTGACAAGTGACAAACATGTAAGGATGACATAGGGCTATGTTGTAATCTATCCCAAAGCACGATTCTAGCCATAAATGTCAAACCGAAAAGGATGACTTTAAGATTGGCTTTCTTAGCATACTTGTCATTCTGCGCCTGCCCAGACTGGTCCAGCTCCCTTTCGCATTTTTCCAAGGCCTGCCAAAGAGACATTTTGTATTGTAGTCCGGGGGTCTGAACAATCTGCTATAGTATCCCGATACGTATACTCGGTGTACTCCAAAACCCGTTTCTATTTGTTATGGCACCTATGTTACAGCGAACGGGTGCACTCGGCGCAGCAAGCTGTTGCCATCACGAAGTCATGGTATTATACCCCCAGTTTTCAAGCGAACGTTCGCTTTCGTGTCGCAGTGCGACCTATATCTTTGGCCTGGCAGTCCATTGTCTCATGCATGTGTTTTGCCAGCAGAGAATATCTGACAAATATAGCGACGAGCGAAGCTCAGCGCAGCTGTAGTGTCAGTTGGATACCTATGCGCGAATCCCATAATATAGGGGCCTTAACAAATACCTACATTATTTTGGGGTCCCCCATTATACTTATAGTATATGGCCCTGAAACCCTATTGTAACTATTAAAGCCCCTAAATTACGCCCGAATCCCATAACCCCGAACGCCGAAGCAGACAACGTCACGCTCTTGATCCTGGCACGTCCTGAGATTACACCCTAACTCGCGAAACTTTACACCCTAAACTCCCTCAACCCTGCTGCCGGTGATTGCTAAAGCCCCAGGTTCTGCGGGTTTTCGAGTGGTTCGAGGAAGAGTTCTCCTTCCTTCTGGTCGTTGAGGATCGGATCCCACAAGGAGTACGATGGGGTTTAGGGTTTACGGGGTGTAGGGTTAGGAACAAGATAAGTAAGGGGGGGCTGGATAGGCAATACTGTCATGATGCATGAGGGTTCACACGAAATCATACCCTAAAAGCCCTTGTTCTGTTTGCAAAGTGTAAAGGCCCCTGTACGAGGAAGTGAACGGTTAACGGTGAAGGATCAAGCTTGGGTTCCGGGTTTAGGCTTTAGGGTTTCAGAGTTTGGGGTCTAGGGTTCTTAGGGTTTAGGGTTTTAGGTTTAGAGTTAGGGTTTTAGGGTTTCAGGGTTTGAGAGTTTGGGGTTTAGGGTTGTAGGGTTTAGGGTTTAGGGTTTAGGGTTTTAGGGTTTCAGGGTTGGGGAGTTTGGGGTTTTGGGTTCAAGGGTTTAGGGTTCAGGGTTTAGGGTTTAGGGTTTCAGGGTTTCAGGGTTTGGGGTTTAGGGTTTTAGGTTTTGGATTTCAGGTTTTAGGGTTTGAGGGTTGTAGCAAGCTCTTTCCTTGCAAATACAGCCCCTCCGAGCAAGTCTCCCCGAGTCCAGCCCTCGACACCCAAGCCCTACAAGCCTTGAGTCCATCTGCTCGATGCGCTATGTTTCCCAAAAATCTAAACCCAAAATCGTTACTAGCCACAACAGGTCGTGAGATGGGTTTGAGGGCCTTGGGCATGAGAGTGTGTGGTGTTCCAGCTAGCAGGGGCTAGTTCGCTTCGTTGCCGGATTGGGGCTGCTGATGTTTGACGCCAGAGTTTTGGGGTATCTGTAGGTAGGAACAGCACCCTGGCTGTGTTTGTTACTAGGCAGACTTTGTAACCAACATGTTTCAATTCAAAACTAGCAGTGCAGCCTGTCTGACAACATTTCACAATCACCAATGCGGGAATGTATCAGCTTCAGCCCAGAGGCACGATGCCAGCAAGCCCTAAGGTTTTAGCCTGGTACCCAGAGCCCCAAACCCACAAACCTCAACTAGGACACCCTAAATACAACCCTAGACCTCGAAGCTTGGAGCTGAAACACAAACCGAAGCCACAGAGCCTGAACTCTGCAACTTTACGTCCCATGGTCTTGAACTTCAGCCCCAACCTCTGGAGCAAAGCTCTCCAAGCCCCCAGCCCTCATAGAAGCCGTGATAACATGTGATAACAACCCTTAAAGACATCCTTGTTGGGACCTTGAACCCAAACCCTTCCGCTTATTGAGGCGGCTGTGGGCGGCGATCTCCGACAGCTTCTGACCAAAGCTCGTCAGGCCAGGGGTTCAAAGCTTCCAGGAATTTAACTTGGGCGGTTTGGATTTGGGGCTTTGAGGGTTTAGTGTTTCGAGGGGTCCGGGCTTAGGCAATTAGGTTGTTGATTTGAAAGTGTTCGTTTTCCTTTGGGACTGGGGTCAAGGTGGGCGTCAGGCTGGTGCTTTGTTTGTTCTGAGGGCTTTCGGGGTTTGTCGACGGGATTGGGTTCAATTGCTTTTCGATCTAGGTTCGTAGAGCTTCAAACCCTGGAACTCATAGCGCGAAATTCCCACCCCGCTCCTGAACACCGCCGCTGAAGGCCGCAAACCCTAAGCTCCTGTACGTCTTAATTACAAGGGTTTAGGGGATTTAGACAAGCCAGAGTCGGTCCTGAACCCTGTATATAAGTAAGCCTGAAACCTTAACGAGCCCGCCCCCAAAACCGCTGAACCCCACACAAAGGACTTAAACTGCAAATAGCAGGGGCCCGCGCGCATATCTCAATATTCTGCTCTCGGCGGAGTTTTTGCCATTGCCCACGAGGGGTTTCAAGCATAAATGCCTTGGAAACAGAGGTTCAGGGTTAAGGGCATAGGTAACATAACAGCTTGATAGTGCTTTCGAAATTGAACTTGAACCTCAAACACCAAACCCTTTACGAAAAGCCTTAAACTCCACACCCTAAAACCTTAAGCCCTAAACCCCAAACCCCAAATTCTAAACCCTGAACTGGAGCCCTCTTTGTGGAAGGAGCACTTCGAAGATGGAGAGGTTCCGGGGGCGTTCTTCCTGTGTTCTGACTTTGGATGTTGGGGTTCAGGGCTTAGAGGTTTGGGGTCTTACAGAACTGATAAGCATCTAAACAAACATGTACATAAATAACGAGAAAATACATGTATATACATATATATATACACATGTAAATGTTTATATGCGCAAAGACATACATACAGACATATATACATATATGTGTGTGTGTGTATATATATATATATATATATATATATATATAAATGTATATTTTGTCTAGGGTTTATGATGTACGGTGTAGGGCTTAGTGGTCAAGGGTGTATGGGGTGCGTCTATATATATATATATATATATATGTATGTATGTATGTATGTATGTATGTATGTATGTATGTCCGTCTCGTCCTCAAGTCTCCCAGCTGGATCACTCATGAAACCACGGCTGATCTCTATGCTAGGCTCAACTTTCAAGATCCTATCGCCCAGCTGGCCACTCAACTGCAGTCCCGGCACAGCCGGCCTTCCCTTAGCATTGAGGCTTTCGACACTCCAGAACGCCAACGCTGGCGCGCTGCTCTTCCAGCTTCGTTTGTGCCTGATCCTCAAGCCCATCAGCGCTCTGCTGTATAGCCATCCGAGGGCACTTCTCGTTGTGGTCTTGTGGATGTTTCGGGCATCGTTGCGCGCACTTTTGCCTGTCCACACTGCCCGCAGACCTTCCCTACCTTGATTGCCCTTCGTACCCACTGTACCAAAGCGCACGGAAAACCGCCCGACCAGGGCGAACTGCCCCCCGAGGCGTCTGCTGCTGCGTCTGCCCTGGTCCACACTGCCACGCCTAATCGCGAGGCGGCCGACAATCCGACCCCTTCTGCCGCACAGCCCGCCGCTCATCCGCGACATCCCCCGCAAAAAGAGCTGAGAGTCAGGTTCATGCAGTTTGCCAAGGATGGTATGCCTCACTGTGCCCTGTGTGATCGACGGTTTGCAGCCTGGCCACCCTTTCTGAGCCATCACTACACCAATTCTTGTCCCGCTCAGGTCCATGACGGCTCCCTTGTGAAAAATCCTGCTGCACCTGCTGCCTCCTCCTCTGTCTTGGCCGCAGCCTCTGATCTTGGTGATGAGCACTCTGTCCCAAGCACCGCTCCACCTATGCAGGCACCTTCTTCCTCCCCCTCGGCTGCGCCCTCGGATGCGCTGCCCCTCCTTCAACGACCTGATATCCGTGCCATGGCTCTCCAGGAGGATTGGCAACCCCTGGCCCGACACCTTCGCATCATGCACTCTGGTCAAGGATTGCGACACTGCCCTGTTTGTCACCAATGGTTCACTCGCACACAGGACATCTTTCGGCATCTGAAGCGTCAGCACCCGCTCTCTGCCCTTCACGAGTCCATGCGAGCTGACTGGCTCACAGCACGTACGGCTGCAGCCCGCTCTCCCTGTAGCTGGTGCAGACTTTCGGTGTCCTTCAAAACTCAGCACGTTGCCGCTTGCCCTGTTTTGCAACAGACCATAACCTTGCGCATCCTCGTCCGCCATGAGCTTGGCCTCCTCTCAGGCTCTGGGCAGCGGCCTCTCTCTGATTCAGCAACGGGAGGCTCAGGCCGAGCTGCAGCTCCTCCAGTGCTGGGGAGAGGACGCGATGGTTCTGGATGCGGCGAACAAGCGTCACGAAATGGAGGATGCGGAAGACCAGGAGAAGGAGCGCGATACGAAGTGGGCCAGACCGGAATCCAAGGGTGGTTTCAGACGAGGCGGGAGGGGCAAAGGCAATCAATCGGGCCAGCCGCCGAAGAACAACGGGCCTCGTCGACAGCCATTCCGTCGATCGACGGAGTCGGACTCCAAGGCCCCGGATGGCATGATGTGGCTGCTGGGCAAACTCCTCTTGCGCCACGAGGATCAGATGGGCATCGACAGGACTCAGAACGGTTTTGTCATGTTCTTCAAGAGAGAGAGTGCTCTCTCCCTGGTTCCTCTCTTCGTGCAGAAGTCTCAGCACTGGAATGCCCTGAAAGAGCAGAAGCAGGAGAAGATGGACGAGATTGCCCTTCCTCTACGATCCTTTCTCTTCCACACAATGATGGAGACCCTGGTGAAGCGCATCAAGGACACCGTGAAGAACGACGAGCAACTGAAGACTGCCATTACCCTTCAGGTGTTTCTTCCCAAGGAGGGAGACACGGAGCTACGCATTCCCTTCCTGAGCTACAACCTGGAGACCAAATCTCTGGCACCTCGACAAGATCAACCGCCAATCCCGGTTTCCACGATGCTCGAGAAGTTGCAGCTCCTCCAGAAGCAATGCCTCTGCCCTCTGGCCATCATGCGATTCCACTCCACTCAGCGCCTCAGCGGCCCCCTTCAGGGTCCCACCGTGCCCTTCTTGCTCCAGGTGGGTCACAGGTCGCCGGAAGCAGCCGAGCTCTATCTGAGCCTCCGATCCCTTTCCAATTCGGCGATTTGGCAGCTGGTGGGCGGATCTCTGCGTCCGGAGAAAATGGGACGTTCAGCCCTGGCAGCCGAGCTCGCTCGTCGTTTGCAGGGGTCCTCTACTCAGACAGACTGTTCTTCCAATCGCCCCGGCTGCTCCGTGTTGTCAATGCTTCCAACCATTGTTACGCCAACTCGGTGATGTGCTGTCTTCACTGGGCCAATCAACCTGTGTTCTGACGCGGCTCGTCCTCAGGTGATTTGGTCCGCGGCCATGCATTCGGTCGTGCGGCGAATGACTACGCAGGCGCCTGTCCCGGACCTCTGGTCATCTCTCCAATGGTCGCTCTTACACTCTCGCTGGGCTCGACCTCACTCCCAGCATGACGTTGCAGAATACCTTGCCTTCTGCCGCAGGTTTGTCATTCCGGATCTGCTCATGGGCAGGTGGCAAAATCGGCTGCTTCTTACTGATTGCAATCCCCCTCGCTGTCAGGTGCGCGACTGTGGGGACGCATGGCCTATGCTACTAGCTACGCCTCCTTCTCAGTGTGATGCTGGAACTAGTGGACGGATCACAATCCAGCGGCTCATCCATGCCTGGAAGGATCAAGCTGCTGCTGGACTCACCGCCATGGATAGTGAGCCGGGCCTTTTGGTTTTGCAGGTTAACCGGTTTAGCCCCTCGGCTGCCGGTGCAAAGGATGTCACCAGTGTGTTGCCGGATCCTCGCATTCTGATACCCTGTTTTCAGCACCACCCTATCCCGCAAGATGCCGCCCTGTGTGTGCGCCATTGCGAATACCAGCTGATTGCGATCATTATGCACGAGGGTCCTGATGCAGCCTCCGGTCATTACCGTGCGCTCCTCTGCACTTACCCTCCTGACTCAGAGCCCGTTCACTGGCAATGCGACGATGCAAAAGAGCCGACAGTCCATTCTGAGCTCTCATTGCAAGCTTTGACAACAGGCTACCTCTACTTCTACTGCCGCACCGTGCAGCCTTGAGCATGTCTAGGACATTCATGGGCCATTCGTGGCAGGTCCTATGTCATCGCTCTGGCTGCTAGCACGTTTTCACCGACGTGTGCAAAGCACATGGCTCACAGTAGCCGGGGTGGCTCCCTGTCATAACAGCCTCGCAAAGCGGATCTCTTCTGCAGCGTATGAAAGAAAGATGTATGTATGTATGTATGTATGTGTTTGTGCATAATATAGTGCAGGGCCTATGGTTTACAGGGTTCAGGAATCACAGGATCGGGGGTTGAGGGGGGTTCGGCTTGAGGCTTTTGGGTGAGGGGTTTCAGGAGCAAGGCGCGAAAGTTGCGGCATCAAGGTTTGGAGTATTTGGAGTTCAAGTCAAGACCGCTTTGTAACGAGCAAACGTGAGATGTCGTGGACATATTGCAGAAACAGGCTCTCTATACCCTAAATCCTCAACCGGAGCATCCAACTCTGGTAGCTCCTAAGCCAACAAAGCTTCCCAAAAAACAGTCGACCAATCGGTGTGCCCGAATCAGGAAAGTCCATGGCTATCCGGCCTAGGCTGTATGCCTTCCAGAAAAGTACAACATCCACAGATTGAGACGTCCTAAACGACCTTAAACAATCCGTAAGCCAGGCTGCATGGGGCCCAAACCCAAAGGCAACGGGTGAATGTAGTGAGGTGACGTTGCGAGGAGAGGTCTTCGTGTGTATCTTATCTAAGCCGAAAGCATCAGCCAGGCACAGGGTCAAGTAACTACGTAAGACATCGCTTGGTTCCAGCACAGCATCATAGGAAGTGCTAGTTTACCGTGTTTGACCGAAGGTACAAGTGCACACTGGCCGAAAAGAACGAACATGTGAGCCCGGATTTGCAAGTCCCGTCACCGGAGACAGGGCATGTGACCGTGAAACTTGAGAAAACGCAAAGAGCTGTATGTTGCGCTCAATGTCTCTATGAGTGGATTTTGCCCCAAACAGTATATACATTCAACTCTGGCAGCAGAATGCTCAACCTAGACGTCAAGCCGTACCAACATTCCCTCTTAGAGGCAACAAGACGAACCAGAGGCAATACAGTGACCTTTCAAGAACCGCAGGCAACATTTCTAGAACCCTTACAAAAGTCTTCCGGAAGCCGTGTAGTATCGCCCATAGAACCCCCAAAATTAATGAAAGCGGCTGCGGAAGGCCAAGCCCCACCCGGGCATCGACGAGAATCTCGCTCGCGAGCTGGTCGAGCAGGTGCTTCACCAGTAGTGGAAAAAGTAGTAGTAGTAGCAGTAGTAGTAGCAGCAGTAGTAGTAGTAGTAGTAGCAGCAGCAGGAGTAGTAGTAGTAGTAGTAGTACCACTACTACCACTACTACTACTACTACTACCACCACTCCTACTACTACTACTACTACTACTACTACTACTACTACTAGTACTACTACTACTACTACTACTACTACTACCGCTATAACAACTACTTCTACTTCTACTTCTATTTCTACTTCTACTTCTGCTACTACTACAACAACTACTACTACTACTACCGCTATAACAACTACTTCTACTTCTACTTCTATTTCTACTTCTACTTCTGCTACTACTACTACTACTACTACTACCGCTATAACAACTACTTCTACTTCTACTTCTATTTCTACTTGTACTTCTACTACTACTACTACTGCTACTACTACTACTACTTCTTCTACTACTTCTTTTGTTAGTACAACGAAGTACGCATCGTTCTTGCATGGCAGTCATCGCTTACGGTATTATTGTTTTCTTTGTCTTGCTATTCTATGGAGTATCTATTTCCTTCTGCTTCCCATGGTTATTATTGTTATTAGTCACATGGTGTGATGGTTGCTATATGCTGAAGCTTATTCATGGCCCATACATGGATGAGTACACATATGTACATATGAACAGGCAACAATGTGTGTGTGTGTATGAACAGGCAACAATGTGTGTGTGTGTCTGTGCGTGTGTGCAGATATGTATATTCCCTACAGATGTATGCACTTCTTAGTTTACACTTGCATCTTTTAAAGGGCATTGTTATCTTTTCTTGCTTGTCGTTAAAGTTTTAGTTTTTGCCAAAGGTACTGTTGGGTTTTGATCGTTCGCATGGAGGCCGCGATGAAGGTTCGGCAACCCCCCACCTGCTTTCCCAGTCACCCCTGTAGACCTCGATACACCACCACTCCTTTGTTTTAAGAGACTTGCTCTGAGTATCGCTTCTAGGTGCCTTCCGAAGGCTTCAAGTTCCGGGTTTAGACCTGCAGCTGTACCAGCTCAACCCGATACCCTAAAACCTGAACAGCGTTTCATCCTCCAAACCCTATGGCACTTAGTGTATTTGGGGAGTCTGTAAGGGTTGCTATATGAGGGATCTACGGGAGTTTAGGGTTTGGATTGTGGTTCATAGGGTTTTGGCTTGGGTTGAGGGTTGGGATTAAGGTTTATAGGCTCACACCGCCAGCCTCTGAATTTGCATCCCACAAGTTGGAGTCCAGGTAGACCCTAAAGCTCGAGCCTTGGATGCATCCTCTTTGGACGACCAAGATACTTGTGACCCCATCGTTGTTGCACTCAGCTACTAATTAATGCTGTGGTGTTTATATAATCGATAATACTCACGATCATCAGAATCATGCTGGTTGTATTTACAGTAGAAGTCAAGATAACCTACTTCAGGCACTGATGTAACTGGTTTACGCGGGAAACTGCGGCTGGATCCCCAAATTCTACCCCGTAGGACCACCTGAAACGCCAAACAGTGAAGTCCTAAACCCAAACTTTCTGATCTAAACCCTGAACTCATAAAACCTAAACCCGTAACCCCGAACTCCAAGCGCAAGACCCCGAACCCCGACCCGGCTTCCGGGGCCAGGCACTTCAGGGCTTGGCCTACGTCCACTCGATGCCGAGACACCAAGAAGGGAGGCGGCGTCGGATTTAGCACTTCAGGTGGGGTCTGGGCATTTAGGTTTTTTTGGGTGTGCCCTAACCCCAAATAACCTACCTACTTTGCGGACTTAGATAATACGGACTTAGATAATACGGAATCCCAGCAAAAGGTAGTTTATTCGGCGTCAAGATGGGGTCTTGGGGAGCCATCGTGGAAAAGCCAAAGGTAATGGTCAGGGTTTTTGGGTTTTAGCACATCCGGTCCGGTTACTTCGCTGTCGGACTTGGGGGGTTTAGGGTTTAGGGTCTAGGGAACCCCAAACCTTAAACTTTAAAGCCCGAACCTTAACTTCTAAAGAAACCCCCCGGCTTCGGCAAGACCTTGGGGGAAAGCTGGTGCTCGTGGCTTTCCTAGTGGCTCCAACGGACTTGTGTTCGAGTCATGCACTACAAGACAATAAGCGCCGGTTCTCAAACTGCTCTTTGGAGTTTGTTCTAGGGTTTTAGGGTTTCAACCCTAAACCCTAAACCTTGTGGTGCAGGTTTGTCACAGGGTTCAGGGCTTCTAGGGTTCTGTCTAGCACCTAGCGGTGTTTTAGGATTTTAGTGCTCGGAGTTGGGGCCTGAGACTTTAAGGAGCGTCATCCACAGGGACATCAAACCGGCGAACATGCTTCTGGCATCGGCGCCGAGCTCAGCGCAGGGGGTACAGAGAAGGTATACGATAGATTTAAGTCATTGGCAATATGAAGATAGGGTCCTAATGCCAATACTAGTCTGGCGGTTCCTTATTAGATTACAGCATAATATACCGTACCCCCAAAACTCTGTTCTAATTGTTACCAGTAAGGCACCTACGCCACGAGGAAAAGAAATGACTTTGCATCAGACAAATGGTCGTTCCTGGAGGCTGTCGGGTGTCATGGCCTAGGTGGCTTAGGACTTTTTTTTTTTGGGGGGGGGGGGGGCGGGGAGTTTAGGGTTTAGCGGTCTGAGGGTTTAGGCCGTGGGTTGAGGATTTTTGGCTGGAGGGGTGTGGGGCTGTCAGGGTTTGGGGCATTTTCCTGTGGCTCCAACTACTTGCTAGTGCAGCAGTTATACCCTAAACCCCTAAATTCTAAACCCTCAACCCTAAGCCGCTAAACCCTAAACCCTAGGCCTAGGCCCTAAAAACCCTACCTGGAACCCACCATTCTTAAGGACTTGTATAATCATGAAATCATAATGGGGAGCCCTATAGAGCAAGGTTTTACATGGTCCATGTAGAGCCCCAACCCAAAGCCCCGAAGACCCTAGGCCACCGAACCCTGGACCTTGGAATAATGGGGTCAGAGTTCGGAGGGGACCTTGAGGAGCGTCGGGTGCCCTTCGGGTTCAGGGGTTTAGGGGGGGTTAAAGGTTTAGGGTTTTAAGGTTTAGGGTGCATGGTTCAGGGTTTAGGGTTCAGGGTGGTGGTAGTACTGTAGCAGTAGCCTCAGTAGCCTTTGTAAGCACCGCCATCGTAACGCTTGTGCTAAGCCTTATAGGTACCCTTAAAGACATCCCTAAACGTTTTCAGCGCCCCAAAATCCCTGTGCTCGCAATGTCAATTCTGACGCTTTCAGTATTCAGTGATCGCATCCCCGTATAAGCCAGTAGTCGATTCCCCGTATTGTTCCCAACATCTTATATAGTTAGTATAGCACACCTCCCAAGCCTATCTAACTTATACGGTCCCCGCTTTTGTGGGCCATGTCCCTTCGAGTGCTCCCTCACTGCCCTAAACCCTAAGCCCTAACCCTAAAGGCTACCCCTAAATGCCCCCAAGACCCTATACTAAACCCCAAATGCTCCCAGCCTAAGAGCCGCGCGACATTTACCCTCCGAGGCAGACATGCAGAAGCCGCGCGATGCTGGCATGTTTGTCTAGCAGATTAGGGTTTAGCTGGGCCCCATAAAGCCTTCCCTTTGCAGGGTTCCCCAGTTATGATGTCCTTCTACAGGTCCTTAAACAGGTATATAAGTCATTAGCGGTCCAGGCAGGACCTAGCAAGGGTTTATGCAGGTTTCAGGGTTCGAGTTTAGGGTTTAGAGTTCATGGTTGAGGCTTGGCTTTCAAATGACTGGTACGTTGCAACATCGATCTCGGCCTCGAAAGCCGCAAGCATTTTGAACCACCG